GTGTGTATGTATGTGTGTGAGAGTGAGTGTTTTTGATGGGGGTGGGGGGTGGGGGGAGGTCGGAATAAAACTCAAGCGTGTGCATGTGTATTTGTGGGTGCATGTGTGCATGCGCGCATGTGTCTGCGTGTGTATGTGTGTGCGTCTGTGTGTGTACATATAGTGTACACGAACGTGTGTGTGTGTGCGTGTGTGTGTACATGTAGTGTACACGAACGTGTGTGTGTGTGCGTGTGTGTGTATGTGTGTGTGTGTGTGTGTGTGTAAGTGTGTGTTAGTTGTTGTAATAAGCGTTTTACGGCACTTGAAACACAAAGAGGTCTTGAACGAGTGTCAAAGATAACAGGAGTAACAAAAGGATAACAAACACATACAAGAAGTAGGAGAGTTTTAGTGTTAGCTGTAGTAGAGGTTATACGGCGCTCGCGACAGCGCACACACACACACACACACACACACACACACACACACACACACACACACACACACACACACACACACACACACACACACACACACACACACCACACTCTTACACACGGCTATACCATTAAATTATAATATTACTCATCTACTCTTTACTGTTAATTCACAGAAGAGCTGTTATATTTGGACCATATTAACTGTGTACCATGATTAAATCACACCTTTCATTTTCAATGCTCATCCAAATTATGCCCAGTTGGCCTTTGAAAGCTTCTGAAAGCGAAACTGTATTAAGTGCACAATTTAATGCCAATATTATGCATATACAGTGTTATTTTGCAACTGAAAAGACATTTGATTTAAAATTGATAATTTTTGCAGTGAATAATTTCTTTCCAATTCATACTGATTTTGCTTTGTTTTAAATAGGGATTCTCATTTGTATAGTAGACAAACCCTGGCCACAAAGTTGTAACCTTGCAAAACAAGATGTCGGTCGTACTGGCCAAGGCCGCTGGAGGCTCTTTCGGACGTATGAATTTGTTTAATTGTTTTGTTTTTCTCCCTTTTTGCTTATTGATATATCTTGCTATTTCCAGATACATTTGGTTGATAGAGAATTAATGTGTGTAATATGATTGCATTCGTGGAATCAGCGACTGAACGTTTGGCTTGCTACAAAGACAAAGTCAAACTTTAGCTTCATTCAGTTTACTTTAGTAGCTACTTTTTTTTAGCAGTTTATATTATTAGCCCTCTCTCTAGCGACACTGGTTTCACTCAGTTTTGACAGTCTGTCTCAGTTCCTCTGCCTCTGTACTCTCCATGCTTTTTTGCCCTTCATGTCCCCTTTATTTCAGTTTAGCGTTTTGGCAATACAACAACGAAGACGGACACCGACCTGCCTGAAATAGATGAGGCCGGCTCTTTCTCAGAACGTTCGGGAAAATAAAATTGAACTTTATTTCTCCAAACGGTTTCCGTTCTCAAGATTTGCTGATAATAAGTGAATGGAGTGGCCTGTGTGTGTGTGTGTGTGAGTAAGGTGTGAACGGGGTGGAGAATTTTTAACTTTTTTTTCGAAGTGACTATTTCTCCGAACGTTCGGAGAAATAGTGCCGATCTTTATTTCTCCGAACGGTTTCCGGCTTCCGCTCTGGTCGTGATTGTTTGCCTATTTGCGAGAGTTCGGCGCCAACTTTCATTCCGTCATTCTGCGAGGTCTGGGAAGGAGCAAATCAAAGGTGGTATCTGTTCTCAGCTTCTCCTCCGGCCGTGTGCCCACTGGTTTAGCGAGGCGGGTACTGCCTGAGGCACCCGAGAGACGGAGAAATCTGACCCTCTTTTCTATTGAGTGGACGGTTATCGTCCATTTAAAAAAAAAACGGAGCAAATTTTTGGGTTTAGATCTATTTCAATTTTCAAGAGCTAGATCTAGTCTAGAGATTTTTAGATGAGTGTAAAAACGTGAAAAAGAAAGGTTTCACAACAGAATGAAATCAAAACTAGAACAGCCCAGAAACAACCACAACAATTAACAAATAAGGGCGTGTGTCCACCTGTCCGAAGAAGATTGACCGTTTTAACCCTAAATGTGCGTAATTTGTTAAAAAAAAGTACAGGATATTGCATGGAAATTATGGAAGCACACACAGGGGGCCTGCCAGTGTCAGTACATGTACTTGGTTTTGGTGGAACGCTCTAACATAGCACATTTAAATCTATACAGGTATATATATTTAGAATCTAATGAAGGTAGGAACATCAAATTAAATGACGTTACACAATACCTTTTGTAGGAACATCAAATTAAATGACGTTACACTATACAACCCCCCCCCTTTTCCCCAACAAAAAAAAATTAATAGAAAAACAACACATCAGAACAATAACAAGAAAAAAAAAATACAAAAAATAAAAGAGGAACAGCAATACAAATCGTATGTAACTGTAACGTATTCAACAAATCAACGTGGTGACAACAAGTGAGAAAGAGACGAAGTGAAGCTAAGTGAACTTTCTTTCAAAAGTAAAGAGTTTCATTTTCTTTTCTTTTTTTGTGACTTTTTCGGGGACCAAAAAATCGAGCTACGATTGATTGGTCGCGGCCTCGACAAACGCAGATGCTAGCTCTATGTGTCGTTATCAATAACCCTCCATAGATCTAGATCTAGACAGCTCACGAGTGAACGCAACACATTAAGTTTAAGAGCAGCACCCTTCATAGGCCACACGTCATATCTGTAGCGAAAAACTGTTTGGAACTGTAGCATTTCTTTATATAAATACGGACATTTTTTGGACCGATTGAACCATATTGTATACGAACAATCTTTGGTAGGCCTATAATATAATTATAGATCTATATTTTATTTTTATTATCCGAAATATGCGGGAAAGGGTGTGATTTCAGAGTGTTCGGAGAAATAGTGCCCAGCTTTATTTTCCCGAACGTTCGGAGAAATAGTGCCGGCCTTTTTTTTTTTCATAATTTTTGCTTGGTGACTAAATGCAAAATAGGTTACTGCCAAGGTCGAGCAGTCTTGTTTTCTCGTTGTACCTTTAGAGGTATTTTCAAATGAAGTATAGTCCGGGAACGTTGCCCCAACCACAACTGAAGTAGAGATCTGAATATTCAGACATTAAAAAATTTCTAGCTCTAAAAATTGAATTCGATGCAAAAAATGCTTATTCCCAGTCCTCGCAGAATGGCAGAATGAAAGGATGACGTCTAAATCTCGCAAATAACCAAAAAATCTCGAGATCAGAAATCGTTGGGAGAAATAGAGTTCAACTTTATTTTCCCGAGCGTTGGGAGAAATAGTCACTTCGAATAGGTAAAGTGGAAACAAAGGGTGTGACCGCCATAATATATGGACATGGTAGGGTTAGGACCGTTAGGCTGCACATGATCTGCTGAATCACTGTAGCCTACTGAATAGAGGACAGTTCGTCAATAGGTCTATCGTGTTTTGGCCCCAAGAGCCAAGAGTAATAAAATATCAATAGTAGTAACTCTATATGGTTTAGGGTAAGGGCTGGGTAGTAGGGTAGTACAGTATAGTAATCGTTGAGGGCTAAAACCCAGATTGTCCCAACAGTTCACAGTCATTAGTCATAGTCATACAGACACAAAAGAGTCAAAAGTCTGTCAGTCATCATAGTTGTGTGAGGTTGGAGTAAAACTACTATCTCTAAAGGTACCCTCCTCGACTACTTTAGATAATAGGCTGGGCTTATTTTGTAGACAATTTGCAGTTCTAGTAATTTAGATGAAGGTTTTGAACGATTCTGAAATTAAAGAAGAGAAGCAGTATTGGACATTGTACAATTGTACATCATGTAGCCATACGTAGCCTACCACTGCTCATACTATGTGTGCATACTTTTTCCTTTCAGGCCAGTCTTGGAGTCAACTGCCGAGGGTTGCCGGATGTGTTATTGTTCAGCACAGGGATGCCTCGAACACAGTCCCGAGCCAGTTGTCTGCCCTGAAGCGAGGCACGGGGGGCAGGAGTTCTTTCAGCGGGATTGTCGCCACAGTGTTTGGTGCTAGCGGTTTCCTGGGCCGATATGTTTGCAACAGACTAGGTATTTGTTCTCTTTGATGTTTCTCTGACTCATTGCTTTGATAGCGAAGTACGGTAGAGAAAAAAGAAGCAGATATTATTTTCTATAAAAAGTTTAAAGTATTTTTTTCTTTCAGATTTTTATTATTGCAATTGGGAAAACAAGAATTTAGTTTGATGCAAATATGAAACAGACTTAATGCTGGTTTGGGACTAAATATAACAGAATTGATCACATGAGAACATAATCTGTCTTGTGTAGAATCAGAGGCTTCATAAATACATGCTGTTGCTGAGGTGGGGGGAGTCATTTTTGTCTTCTAACAACAGGATAGAAGCTATTTTTGTGTTTGTGATTCTTTAGCTGGACAACTCTCAAGTTGATGTTTTATTGGGAGGACTTCCGTAATGAGCCACCACGATGAGACAGAGTAGAATAGAGGGCTAGGGTTTGGGTTGGGGGTGGGGGTAGGGTTTTGGTTGTGTTGGGTCTCTTCTTCATTGTGTTTTGATGGGGTGGCCGCTTGTTACGGAAGTCCTTCCGCTATATTTTTCTGACAGGCAAGATCGGGTCACAAGTCATTGTCCCGTACCGCTGTGATGCCTATGACATTGAGAGACTGCGTATGACCGGGGATCTGGGACAGGTTCTTTTCTTTGTAAGTTTGTCAAGTTTGTCGAGTTTGTCAAGTTTGTCAAGTTTGTCAAGTTTGTCTGTTACTCTCTTGTAACACCTCTAATCTTCGGCACCTATATGACCTTATTGAGTTGCATGTTCCGTAAAACTGTTACTAAAACGAAAGGCACAGTGGTAACTTGTGGCGGAAAACACACAGGCAATGCTGGCATCTACTTCAAATGGCCTATTTTGTCAATATTTCAAAATGAATGCACAGTATTGAATATGGTATCAAAATTTAGCTCAAACCCTGTAGATTTCAGAAATGTTTGTGTCATGGGCAACAGCTGTCTCGTTATGTTATAAAGGGCGCGTAATCACAGGTACCCCGGTGTAAACGTTTAATTAACATAAGTTCAATTTACTCACTTAAAAGTGATTTCAATTGCTTATCTCTGCAATAATGTCTTCCAAACTGAAAGCAGGACCAATCCTGATATACTCAGAGCATATATAAGCAAAAACAAGCACAAAATTCAAGAATTTATGAAAAGGGGAGACAATTAAATGAAGCCGACCAATGCACGGTTTACACAAATATATTTATTACACCAATTAATGAGTGGACATGAGAAAAAAATGGAAAAATGAAAATAATGGCCTGAGATCTAATGCCTCTTGTTAGTCCTTTTGTATTTGTCCAGGTGAAGAAGTCTGGTGATCCCTTATTTGTGATTAGATCAACATCGTTGCTCTTGGAAAAGACGTCGCTGGGGCTGCTCTTTTCCATAAATCTCACACTGAAGTCATCCTCCTTGAGTATTTTAACCTTAACCTACAGGAAAGAATCAAATAACACACCTTGAGAAATAAAGAACTTAGTTGGGAAAAACAGCAATTATTTGTAATAAATATTATGGATCTGATTTGTTAAATTTCAATCAGAACTAACAATTTTAGCCGTTTACTAACAATGGCAGAATATGTCCACCCTTGCCTCTTTTGGCCTCTATTTTTTCAGTAAGTAGTAGATGTTCTAGGCTTTTTTAAAATGTCACTTGAATGTATCACACCTACATTTGTCTCTTTCTTATTGTATTTATTAGTGAGTCCCTTGTAGGCCTTCTTTCTCGCATTCTGCACAACCTTATTTGATTTCTTTTCCTCATGAAACAGCAGTCTCCTAAAGAAACATCTTTCTGTTGTGTCTAGACTACTCTTTGTTCACTATCTTTGGTAACTGACAACTTATATTCATGGCATAGCCATTCAGAAGACTTGACCACAGTTCCAAGGATTGTGAAGGTAAATCAAAGAGGTCTGGAGACACACATGTCTATAAAGACTGACTTTAAATCATCATATCTTCTGGAATCTCTTCATTGTCAAATAAATAATCATTGTCTTATGAATCCTGTCTGTATTTGAGTGCCCCCTCCCCCCTTAATTCTCAAATTTTTGGAATGCATCGTTCGCTTTCTTTATTTTGAAGTTTCTCTTCACAATATTATTATTTTTTCGTTACATGCCCCCCCCCCCCCCCCCTCGTTCCTCTTATTTCCATTCTATGTCTATATTGCATGTTTCCACAATTGATTTTGACTGTCTTCTCTTCTTGTTCATTAAATTAAATTTAAAATATTAAAAAAACTAACTACAATTCATTGGAAGCTAATCCAAGTAGATCGATGCCTATCTAATTCTATTCTGAACATCGCGACACAACGATCTTTGAAATGCCGTCCCCCCTCCTTCCCCTTTCAGATTACGCGGCCGCCATTTTCTTGCCTTCGCGGCGATTTCGTGTTGTGCTTACGAAAAAATTAGATTTAGGCGATTATCTCACATCATGGAGCAATTTAAAGATTTATTTACGCAGAAAATGAAACTAGCATGGATAATGACTTACATTTCGTGATATTTGGGTTGAAAATCGCATTTAAGACTTAGATTTAGCCTCATTTTGTTGTTCACGGGTCTGGTTTGTTCGACCTGCGCAAAGTTCGACCGATGCACGACAGACGTGAAAAATGCGGGTTTTCAAATTTAATTTAACAATAAATGTTAGAAAATGAATAGCAACGATGAAACTATGGCCTAGAACTGTTAAAAACTTCGTTTGGGACAATTACTGCGAGATCGTTGTGCCGTGATCGCAGATTCCAGTTTGTTCACCCGGTAGAATACGAGCGACAAACACCCAAATGATCGTGAATGAATAGCCGTAAATCTTTTTAAAATCTATTTTTCTTCCTTTTTAAAATACAAATGATCGCAGTTATGAAACATTGTCAAAACATGTTTAGTGGCAACTAAAACAAAAAATAGGCTAAAACCTTGGAGTAACTATATAGGCTAAAACCTTGGAGTAACTATATAGGCTAAAACCTTGGAGTAACTATATAGGCTAAAACCTTGGAGTAACTATATAGGCTAAAACCTTGGAGTAACTATATAGGCTAAAACCTTGGAGTAACTATATAGGCTAAAACCTTGGAGTAACTATATAGGCTAAAACCTTGGAGTAACTATATAGGCTAAAACCTTGGAGTAACTATATAGGCTAAAACCTTGGAGTAACTATATAGGCTAAAACCTTGGAGTAACTATATAGGCTAAAACCTTGGAGTAACTATATAGGCTAAAACCTTGGAGTAACTATATAGGCTAAAACCTTGGAGTAACTATATAGGCTAAAACCTTGGAGTAACTATATAGGCTAAAACCTTGGAGTAACTATATAGGCTAAAACCTTGGAATTTAGAATTACGTGGAAAAACGACATACACATGCCGACAATGCAGGCAATTAGGATTTTTAAAAATATTTTTTAGAAAATCGTGATTAATTTCATGTTTTTAATGCCAAATCATACTATTATCATTCTAGAACAAATTGTTAGCAAAATTACCATTAAAAATTATGAAAAAAATAAATTAGACTTACCCTTCTCTCCATGTGTTCTGTTGTCAAGTAAACATTGTCTGTCGTCATTCCATGGGTCCAGGAACTTCACAAAACCACAACTTTCACAAAAAGTAAAAACTCACAAAAATGTTGCTGTCCCAGCTTCTCGAAACTTCACTCTACAATATCAACTAAAGATACACACACACAGTTGTCCCATTTCTGCGGAAAGTTGTTCAGAATACAGAAAGTGCCATTTTGCCCTCTGCTGTGTTTTCCGCCTTGTGCTCTGTAGGGTGTCATGTTGTTTTGGTTCTGTTGTCAGTCCAACGTTGCTTGTGTGGACCCTTTTACAGTGAGGTTACTTTAAATGTAACTCGTTGATTTCTTTTGTTATTTATAGTTTCCCGTCTGTAGTAAAGACTTGATAGTTTCAGTGTGTAGGTGAATTCCTTCAATTTTCCCCAACTTTATTCTCTTTTGAAAATTTTTTTCTTTCACAGCCTTTTCATTTGAAAGATGAAGATTCGATCCGCAAGACTGTTCAGTACTCGAATGTTGTCATCAACCTTATTGGCAGAGAGTTTGAGACAAAGTAAGTCTGTCGCTTCAGTGGTCAGTCTTGGTGGACGGTACCGGTACATGCTTGCCCCACCTCATAGTAGAAAACATTTCATCTTCTTGGTATTTGTGTTTTTTGCTGTCATCCCAGATGAGGAAATTGATTATACTTGGTTTTCCTCATGGGTTGTTGTTTTTTTCTGTCAATGAGAATGTTGGAATGTAATTTAGCAATGTCAATGAAAAATTAAATTTTCATCCAAATTGCTTTAAAATGGACTTAAATGAAAATAAAGTAAATTCTAAGAACTATGGTTTTTAAATTTTTAAAATCCATTGATAAATAAAAAAGTTATTGGGATTTTTGTTTGCAAAATGTTGGAGGACCTTCATATAGGAAAAAATCGCCAAAATGTGGGACATGTCTTGGTGTATTTTGAGGAAAAACTGTTCATAAGTCAGTAATGAATTGGAGCATATGAATGAAACTTGGCATCTCCATGTGATTTTTAGTGCAGAATCTAGTTTTGCTATCACTTTTTCGATGTCTTCATTACTTTGGATCTTGAAGACTGATATTTGCGTGAAATTTGTTGAATTGCGTGACATCGTTTTTACCGCGACACGATCACCCCTTCTAAAACTCAGTAAAGCACTATCGGGAAAACCAGCGATGTAGTCATCGGTGACCCATTTGGTTATAGGCAGCCAATCACATGCTGCCTAGCGATCACGCGCCTCTTGCGTGCCGGCACCTCGCGTTTGGAAAGCGCGATCTAGTTTCTAGATCTAGTGTTTTATCAATGGGTGGGTGGTAATTTTAAGTTGGTACGGAAAATCTACTAAACGCAGAGATCTGAAATTTTACAGCAATAAAGAAGACATGTGGGGCGCTTGTGTGGTCGGCGATCAACTCGCAGCTCCGCTTAGTTTTCGAACCGCAGAGGAAATTCGCACAAACACGGCAATATCTCCGGTTCTAGTAATCGTTCGAGATTGTACGCTGGCATGTCGTTAGTTTAACCTTTCCTCTGGTTGGTTGCCGAGTTTCATTTATTTTCGTCCAGGAGTTTTCCCGTGACTAAACTTAGAAGAGAGTCACTTCTGATTCCGAGCGGCCCAAAAAATACCCTTCGCGCAGAGGCTGATTTCCGGCCCAAGGCGCAGCGGGCGATTGGCATTGCTACATAATTTATGAAATAGCGACACGGATGTCTTTTTTAATAAGTAAGTATACGTTTTATGGGATTTAGATGCAGTTGCCGCTCAAGAACTTTTATATTTGATGTTTTATTTTGGAAAATTGAACTAAAGTCTTTGCCGTTTCTTCAAAGCTTGTGTACTAATTCAAAAGTCATGTAATTTTATTGTTTGGTTCACATACTTTCTGTCAAAAATTTTCATATTTTACACACATTTGCACACACATACACACACGCACACAAACCTGTACACAAACATTCTTCAAGAATAGTGTTAAAATCTCCAAATAGATCATTATTTCATCTTTCTGATGGGTATGTCCAGTGGCAGATCGGTCATTGACTTCAGACTCGCTGGAAATGTCAAGTCAAGTGTCGGTGACTCTGGGTCTAGATGAGTGGTCGCTGGGGTGTGTCCTTGAGCAAGACTCAATAAAAAAAATCCCCGGAGCGCTGCACAGCGGTGACCAGTAGTAGCATGTTTTCTAAATTGTTTCTGTGTTGGGGTAATATTGAGGATTTGGTATTCCTACAAGAATTTGTACATTTTTGTGTTTTTAAATATGTATTTTTGTATGTATGTTTGGCATTGTAACTGAAATTTCTCCATGACGACTAATAAATTGTAATTAATGATTATTTATTTATTTATTTATTTATTTATTTACTTTTCTGTCAGGAACTTCACCTACAACGACGTCCATGTGAAGGGGGCGCGGCGGCTCGCCAGGATCGCAAAGGAGTGTGGTGTGGAACGTTTCATCCACATGTCTCATCTCAACGCCAAGGCAGACCCGCAGAAAATCTGGACTTCTTCCGACTACCTGAAGTCTAAGGTCTGAAGGGCTCTTCATATTCATTCGTACAACTATATAAGCTTTGCCTGAATGGGGAATTTGCAAAAGTCTTGGAAAAACACATTTTTAACTAGATCTATTATAAAATTATTTCCTCCAAGTTTCGAAGGCCTCGACTTTATGCATTCTGAATAAAGCAGTGACGAAATATCTGGTCACATAGGCTTATTCAGGCTGCCAACTCTTTAGACGTGTACCGTTATGTATTTTTGCATGCTGAAAAAAACATTTTCTTCCAAAATGACGCGTTATTTGTCTCGAAAAAAAAAAAAATTCTGCTTAGTATGAACCCTGCTGTGGTTTCTGTTCCAGTACGAAGGAGAACTGGCCGTCAGAGAGGAATTCCCCGAGGCCATCATCTTCAAGCCGGCGGACATGTTTGGTTCGGAGGATCAGTTCCTGAACTACTACAACTACCGCTGTGAGTGTTTGAGAGCTTAATCAGCTGCTTGCTTTGTATGCTTCCCGGGAAGCTGAGAATGTTTTGGACTGTTTTATGGTCTACTGGGGTAATAATATAGTGACAGGTCGAAGCGCTAGAACTCATATTGCCGTTGGATTGGAAAAGTAAAGTAAAGAATGATATAGTGTAAAGCACATAGAGCTTGCTGTAGAGCAGGGTTATTCGCTGTATAAATGCTATTTATTATTTATTATCATTTTGATTATTATTATTATTATTATTATTATTATTATTATTAAGTGGGCCTCTCCCTGTTCTTGTATTTCTTTCTGTCTGCACTGTGGCTTCATGGTTTGCGTTAGAATGAGCGTTGTAATCTTGTGTGAATGTGAAGTATGCCGATAACATCGAGTTACTTTCTTCTGCAATCCGTGAATGGAGAGGTCCGCCCAAAATTTAACACAGGAGTGAGATTTGTAGATCTACCTGGACAGATATATATATATTATTGAAGTGGTTCAGCGACATAAGGGGATTTTTGTGTGTGTGTGTGTGTGTGACAAGTAGAAACAGACGTGTGTATGGCAGAGAACACGTACCTTCATACAGCTGTACATCCTGCTTCATACACAGAAGAGCCGAGATCCTGTTTTACTTCGAAACAATATTGAAATATGAAAAATGATTCTTCCTCAACTGTTCAATTCCTGAAAACTGGCACTTGCACCTCATTTTTGTGGGAACGGTAATTTTTTTGAAAGCGTATCGACTGCTTGGCGTAAGACTGGGCCACTTGCCATTTTCTATGAAACATCTGTCGTCCTTATCTCCCCTTCTTCTTTTTTATGTTTGTTACTCTCTTGTAACACCTCTAACCTTCTTGCGCTCATATGACCGTATGCAGTTGCGAGCGCCGTAAAACCTCTACTAAAACTAAAACAAAGTTGCCATTTTGAAAAGTGACGTGAGACGGAGTCTTTCTCTGTGCGGCCCGGATGAAATGTGGATCTATCTAAGACAGGCCAGCAGAATATGATGATTATTTGGGTAATTAAACAAAAATTCTTCACTTTCCAGCGAGATGGAGTGTGGTCCCCCAAGGAATCCCTCTGTGGAAGAAAGGTGAACAGACCATCAAGCAGCCCGTCTATGTGAGTGGGGGACATTTTGTGTGTGTTTGTTTATGGGGGGGGGGGGGGTGGGGAGGATTGCTTTAAGTTGGTTTTGGTGGATTAATTGATTAGTCGACACCCACCTCCTAATGGATCTAAATCGTAAAATATGCCTACGTTAAATAAAAATTGTTTTTGAAAATGTAGGTCAAGCAGCGCTACTCAGAAGAAAAAGTAGAACTACAAAAATTACGAGGGTTAGTTGGGCGTTGTGTGGGTGATGTACTGCAAATATAGCAGGCACACAAATGGGGAATCTGGGATAAGATTTTTAGGTGAGCCTCATTTGTTGAGAGGTGAACAGATATTCCCTTTGGAGAGCTTTTGTGTTGTCTGTTGTCTGTCTGTCTGTGAGATTTGTGTTGTACATGTGGCTTTTGTACTAGTGGTTTGCCATCTCTTCCAGAAATATATGGATAAAACTAGCGATGGAGAAGAAGAACAAGTTTAGATAATTGACACTTTTGGCTTCAATAACCCTCCCCCATCCTCAGTTTTTTGTTTCTGTGTGTATGTGTGTTGTTTTTTATTGTGTGTGTTTTTTGTTTTGTTTTTTTGTGCATGTATGTGTTATGTGGTTTTAAAAAAACTCTTTTTATAAAACTGTTGTATATTTACTTATTTATTTTTCCTTTTTTTTCCCCTGTGTACAAATCCAGGTTGCTGATGTCGCTGAGGGAATTATTCAGTCCATCAGGAACTCTGGGATGGAAGGCAAAGACATCGAGTGTGTGGGGTGAGTCATGGAGGTGGACGGGCCGAGGGCGCCTGTACTTTGAAAACAATCAAAAGTTCCAGCTGTTTTTGTGTTTTGGAGAACTTGATTTGGCACAAATACGACCTATTTGCGTTGCAAGTGCCGTAAAGCTCTTACTTTGGCGCTAATATGACCTTATTCAGTCGCGAGCGCCATAAAAACTACTTTTAAAAAAAAGCTCTTACTAAATTAAACAACATGCTTTCCCACTGGAAACAGCAGACATCATATGTGGCGCGATGCGGTGAAATGAGGCGCTGGTCAATTTTTGTGGGCATTTGGTGTTACGGGTATCGTCGTAAAGTTTGTTCAATTTGTCTTACATTCAGTGAAAAAATACCCATCTGTCTTGAATAGAAGTGGAGATATGTCTGATTGAAGAAGTTGGGGGTCACCTGGTTTCAGAGGCAAAATACCGAGATAATGGCCACCAAGGTTGGTAACTTCCATAGCTTGAGAGACCATTGGAAATGAAAGTTTTCATTTTTTTGTTCCTTTAATCAACTTTTTTAAAGAAAATCCACACAAAAGTGTTTTTGAATAGAAATAAAAGGTGCTGAGGCAAAAAACTCATTTGATAAAAATTACCAAACCGGCGAAAAAATGCTGTCTGCGTTGATAGAATTGTTTTGAGGAGCGCCTGATTTCACCATGATGCCTCACCTATTGTTTTATTAGTGGTCGACTTCTGATTCCTCGGTAATTGGTGTTCAGAAAGGTTCGTTAATGTAAGAACATAATTATCAAACAAAAGTTACATTTAGTGCTTGCATCTTCTTGCATTTTGAAATGGTTTAGAAGCTTTTGCTGAGAAGTTTTTGTTAGAGTGTGTTTAAACATGGAAAGTAGAATAGTGTTGATTTTAATTTCCCAATGTACCTAATAATGGAAGAAGATAGTTACAGAAATGTGGACTTTGTGTTTTTCAACTAAATGATCTAAATTTTGTCGATAGGAGCGTAAAAACACAGACATTTATAAATTTTAACACTTTGAAGACGTTTCACAGTTTCTGAAAATATGTAAACATTTTTTATTCATGAACATGTTTATCTTGCTTTGTGTGAAATTATACAGCAAAATATGCAACGGTTATTGTTGGGGGATTTTTTAAAAATGTCGCAAAATCCTGTGTTTGCCCTAAAATCTTGCACATTCAATGAATTAAGGAAACAAATTGTAAATGGTTTCTATCCCCCCCCCCCCCCCCCCCCCCCCCCGTGTTTGTGATCCCCCAGGCCACAGCGCTACTACCTGGCAGACATCGTGGACTACATCATTCGGGTGTTGAGGAGAGAGGACACCTTGAAGAGAACCGACAGGACCCTCATGCTCAGGTACGCCGGCTACCCTGCCATGAACTAGTGCTGGGCAGCTAGGTTCCCGATTATTGAAAGCTAGGAATCATAGGAATCGACTCCGAACCCAATTACTTACTTTCTAATTATGTGATTTCTTACAGTGGTTACCTTGTTGGCTCCGAACATCTTCAGGATTTAGGATAATCTTAATTTCAGAATACTACGAAGCATCAACTTCTATTTAAAAAAAAATAAATTCTTTAAAAAAAAAGATTTTAATGATAAAAGTAACTGGTTACCGTTGGTTTACATAAAAAGGAGTCGGAACTTTACTCCCGTAGTATTAATCGTGGGAATCGGTTCGGGAATCAACTCTTTGCCCAGCTCTGCCATGAACTAATGCGCTTAGATGAAGGAAGTTTTCATGTGATCACAGCTGCCGACCTGTTGGTAAAAGTTTAGTGGAGGTGTTGAATGAAGTACAGCTGTGGTGTATGACTATGGCATGTGTGTGTACTTTCTTTTTGTTGGAAGAAATTTGTGAACAATGCTATTGTTTCCTACTTGTAGAGGAGATTTCAGCTTCTATCGAACACTTTGTGGTCACTTGCCGCTATAGTGCGACTGAAAATGAACCATTCTGGTAAATTGACGCATTTCTGTGCCAGGCCCGAGAAGTTCGTTGCCGTCACTCTCCTGACTGGGTGACCAGACGGGGTATTTTGTACTCCTGACTGGGTGACCAGACGGGGTATTTTGTACTGCTGACTGGGTGGCCAGACGGGGTATTTTGTACTCCTGACTGGGTGACCAGACGGGGTATTTTGTACTGCTGACTGGGTGGCCAGACGGGGTATTTTGTACTGCTGACTGGGTGACCAGACGGGGTATTTTGTACTGCTGACTGGGTGGCCAGACGGGGTATTTTGTACTGCTGACTGGGTGACCAGACGGGGTATTTTGTACTGCTGACTGTGTGACTGCAAAGTGTTAAATATAATTCATAATTGGATATTCCTAGTTTCACTTCAAATTTTGAGTTTCTGTTCTTGTGTTTTCTCCTCAGGGTGAAAGCCATGCTGTTGGACAGAGTCGCCACCAAGTCATGGTACAACGCAGACAAGCTGGAGAGGGTATGTGGCACAAGGGGGGGATGTAGAAAAAATGGGGGAGCAGCTAAAAATTAGTGGGGGTGATGTAAAAAATATTTGGGATGATGTAGAAAATATTTGGGATGATGTAGAAAATATTTGGGATGATGTAGAAAATAATGTGATTGGGGTAAGATGTAAATATGACATATGCCTCCATTTTTCAGTGTTGATACGGGCGCGTTTAACTAATACCATTTCTCCATTTTCCAGGAAGCCATCACAGACTGGACGACGCCTGGCAACCCGACCTTGGAGGACCTGGGCGTTGACCTCAAACAGTTTGACGCCATGGCTCGCTTCCTGCTCTTCCCGATGCGGCGCAACGCTTACTATGCTGAGAAGCTGGGCGAGTTTGCCGAGCCTGAGCCGCCGCTGCCAGCGGAGCACTACATCTCTAAACACACCGCTGCCACTAGCTAGATAGATAGATAGATTGTTGTACTCGGAGTTCTGGGGGAATGAAAAAGCTGCGACTGTTGTTTGTGTGAAAGTTTAAAAACTTGTTCGTTAATGATGCTTGTTTGGGTCAAGGGAGAAAAGTGTAGTTTTAAAAACAAATTAATGTTTTTTTAGCTGGTGGGCCTATTATTTTTATCGATAAATAAAACCCCAATTTAACTTGATGCTATTCCATCAAATTACTTTGGAGATTTGTCATACTGAAGAAGAGTAGTGAATCGAATACAGACCCTACTGTTTTGTCAGCAAACTGTTAATGTGATGCCTAAGATCTTGTACATCTCTCATTTATTGCTTCGAGCAAGGGTCCCGGTCCTGTATTGCCTGCTCTGAGCTGTTTGTCTTTCTTCATGGGTTTTCAGAAGAAAAAAAGGTTAGTTGTGGATGCAAGGTCTAGGTCAACTCTTGCGCTGCGTGACTGGTGACTGGTAAACATGGTGTATTTAATTGATGAGGAAGCGATCGTTTTGCTTCTGGTGTTTTGAACTGTACGGAAACCCTAGTACAGACACAGTGCTTGTTTTGTGTACAAAGGGGAAATATCTGTATCAATTTGTGATTCACGTGAAAAAGTCTGGACAATAAAAAGTTTGAAGTGAACTCTTAAGCTTGCCGTCATATTCTATTTTTGTCTTACTTTTAAGTCGATTCTGTTGTTTTATTCTCATGAGACTTGAGAGTCTATAAAATCTTTTCATGACTCTTGTTGTGGTGATAGAGACTTTTTACTTTGTACTTGTCTGTGTGTGTTTTTTTTAAAAATACACTTTGCGGTCACTTGGTGCAATAATGCGGCGGTGAAAATTATCCGTTCCGGTCACCTGCACCAGGCCCGAGAAGTCCGTTGTAGTCACTCTCCTGGCTGGGTGACCAGATGGGGTATTTTGTACAGGGTGACCAGATGGGGTATTTTGTACTGGGTGACCAGATGGGGTATTTTGTACTGGGTGACCAGATGGGGTATTTTGTACTGCTGGCTGTGTGACTGCAAAGTGGGAACTATATTCTGATGACACATCATTTTTTCTTTCTTTCTGCTTCTAGTCTGACGACTTATTTTTTAAAATGGTGGTGTTTTTAGCCTACATCAACACAGTTTAGATCGTACAGTTAGCGGGCTTTGACCCTGCCTGTCAGAGTCGACCTGGGCTGAGAGAGAAACAAAGTCCCTGCAGAAAGATGCACACATGTAGGTACTCGGTAAAAGTTCTAGACACGGGGGAATCAAACTTGGGTAGTCTACATGCAGTGACAAAAGTACCTTACTGCTACACCAGAGACGCTGGTAGTCTGATGGTCAAAGAAAAGAGAATGTGTGAGGCAGCGTGGTGAAATCAGGCGCTTGTCAAAATAATGAAAGTGAAGAAACTGGCTTTTTCCGAGAAAGACTGATGAGAAACAAAGACACTAGTGGAAAAACCTGTCGGTGACCCTCTGCAACCGCCCAATTGAATAAAACTGTCGAAATTATTTTGTTAAAAATCTTGGTATTTAAACGGGTAAATAATGGAACAAGTTATGTCTGTTTTCATGACACTTGTAGTGGAGACCGAGACATTTTACCCAGTGAGGGGGATGTAAAAAAATTTGGGCATGATGTTGAAAATAGTGGGGATGATGTTGAAAATAGTGGGGATTGTGTACAAATTTGTGGTGGTGATGTAAAAAATACTGTGGTCGAGGTAGAAAATAGTGGAGGAAATGTAGAAAATAGTTGGGATGATGTAGAAACTTGTGTGGCTCAGGTAGAAAATAGTGGGAATGATGTAGAAAATAGTGGGTTTGAGGTAAAAGATTGTGGATAGAAAATATTGAACATGATGTGGAAAATAGTCTGGTTCAGCTAGAAAATAGTTGGGATCGTGTAGAAAATATTGGGGATTATGTAGTGGGGGTAATGTAGAAGTTAGTGGGGATGATACATGTAGATCTATACAAACTAGTGGGAATGATATAGTGAATAGAAAATGTAGAAAATGTAAAATATGGTGGGGATGAAGTAGAAAATAGTGGGGATGATGTAGAAAATAATGGAGATGATAAAGTATATAGAAAATAAAAAAAAAATAGTAGGGATTATATTGTATATATGGAAAATGTAGAAAATAGTGGGGATGATGCTGAAAATTGTGGGGATGATATAGTATATAAAAAATGTAGAAAATAGTGGAGATGATGTAAACAATATTTTTTTGAGTAGTGTATAGAAAATGTAGAAACTAGGGTGGTTGAGCTAGGTAATTGTGAGAATGATGTTGAGGTAGAGAATAGTGCAAAAATGTAGTTATAGAAAAAAGTGAGGATGATGTAGTGGGGATGATGTAGAAAATAATGTGGTAGATGTAGAAAATAGTGGGGATGATGTAGAAAATAATGTGGTAGATGTAGAAAATAGTGGGGATGATGTAGAAAATAATGTGGTAGATGTAGAAAATGGTGGGGATGATGTAGAAAATGGTGGGGATGACGTAGAAAATAGTGTGGTAGATGTAGAAAATAGTGGGGATGATGTAGAAAATGGTGGGGATGACGTAGAAAATAGTGGGGATGATGTAGAAAATAGTGGGGATGATGTAGAAAATAGTGGGGATGATGTAGAAAATAGTGTGATTGATGTAGAAAATAGTGGGGATGATGTAGAAAATAGTGGGGATGATGTAGAAAATAGTGTGATTGATGTAGAAAATAGTGGGGATGATGTAGAAAATAGTGGTGATGATGTAGAAAATAGTGGGGATGATGTAGAAAATAGTGGGGGTGATGTAGAAAATAGTGTGATTGATGTAAAAGGTAGTGTGGTTGAGCTAGAAAATAGTTGGAATGATGTAGAAAATAGTGGGGATGATGTAGAAAATAGTGGGATTGATGTAGAAAATAGTGGGGATGATGTAGAAAATAGTGTGATTGATGTAGAAAATAGTGGGGATGATGTAGAAAATAGTGGGGATGATGTAAAAAAGAGTGTGATTAAGCTAAAGATTATTTGAGATTATTTACAAAATAGTGTGGTTCAGCTAGAAAATAGTTGGGGTGATGTAGAAAATAGTGGGGATGATGTAGAAAATAGTGGGGGTGATGTAGAAAATGGTGGGGATGATGTAGAAAATAGTGGGGGTGATGTTGAAAATAGAAGCAGCAAACCACAAGAGAGCACCCGCGAACCACCCACTAAGTTCATTTAGATACAGGTGCTTTGTACACCAGATAAACAACAACAAAACAACAACTAGTTTTTCTTGTGTTGTTCCTATCAGGATTGAGGAAAAGCAAGAAAACTGTAAGCCTAGACCATAGCATTACAAACTTTTAAACTGCATTTTGGTGATGTTGATTGAAAGGTGCATCTTTAAAAGAGCTTTGGGAGGGTGTAATTTTCCAAATTTGTACTTGCGCTGACAAAGTTAGATCTATGTCATCATTGCAAGCACCCCTTAGTTTTTGTAAGGTTTTACGGCGCTCGCAAAACTGCATAATGTCATATGAGCGCCTAGGGGTGGATGTCAACAGAGAAGTTCAAACAGGGAATCAGGTTTACTCTGCTCACCTCTCTAGCCTCAACATCACAAAGTCTGCTTCGACTATCAAGGCACCCCGGAAATAGCAGTTCACAAGACAGTGACAAACATACAAAAGAAGTAGAGGAAAATGACGATAGAAAGGATGAGGAAAGAAAAAGCAGCAGTTCCCCCATGTTGTTCCAGCACAGTATGAGCATGACATTGATAAATCAACACATAATACTACTGTGCAAAAGAACATGTTGATATCCCCCTTTTGGGACAACTGTAACTAAACACAAACAGCCAAGCTGTTGAATCATCAAACAACACAGGTGTCTAGGTATTTTTCATGGGGTTTATTTCTAACATTCAACAAAAAAGCCAAAGGGACAGTGAGATTTTGTGTAGATAAATGTAACATTTGTCTGTAGAAATTTGACAACTGAACATTTAAAGAAAAAAAATAATCAAAACATTTTTGACAGCATCATCAGCGCTGTTGAGCAGAAGATGCACAGGGTCACACATCCAACAGCCTCCAGACATATATATATATTACATGTGTCACGACGCGGTGGAATCAGGCGCTCGCCAAGTTTTTGGATCAATGGAGTAATAGGCATCCTCTTAAATCATCTTACGGCCTGCTCATTTGTCTTCCTTTTGGGGAAAAAAAATATCCATCTGTGTTCAATAGAAATAAAAATATTTGCCTTTGAAGGAGGTCAGGGTCGCCTGGTTTCAGAGATAAAATTAACGAGAAAATGGCCACCAAAGTATGGTAACTGCCATAGTCTGAGAGTCCTTGGTAACTGAAAATTAAAATTTTTTGTGCCTTTACTCAATGTTTTTCAGTATAACCCACACAAAAATGTGTTTTTAAATGGACATTAAAGGTGCTGAGCCAAAAAAAAAAAAAAAGAAAAAAAATTGCTCATCGGCCAAAATAATGCCAATTTCTTTAATTTCATTATAAATTTTGACGAGCGCCTGATTTCACCACGCTGCCTCACACATATGCAACAGTACGGTACGTCAAACATCATGATCACTCCGAGGAAATAAATTCAACATAAGAGATGTATCGGTCTCAATAAGTAAGAAAAATAATTAAACGAAAGTCAAAATCTTCACATACATGACATTATAGAATCTTCTAACATGGAAACAATGAACAGACAGTGGTTATGTAGAAACAAATATTCCGGTACGCTAGTACAAAAGTCGCTTTAGATACTCACAAAAGCCACAACATTTGCCGTCGGTCATTTGAGTTGAACTAACAGACACACATACACACACACACAATACACAGACACACACATCACACATTCATACAATTGCTTTCCATTTCATTTTGGGCAAGAATGTAAGAAAAGGGAGCAGGATGAACAAATGGCGCCCTCCACGATATTCATCAATTGAAGTTTTGTCAAATAGATCTACAAGTCCTGTCTTCAGAACAAAAAATAATATATTATTTGTCCCCCCCAAAAAAGGGGGATTTTTATAATTTATGCTCTCTGGTTTAGAGGTTTATTAGAGCTAAGAGGGGAAAACATTGCAGTTGTAAAGGTTTTGTGTCCCTATCAAAACAGTTTAGGTCACTTGGGTATTAGGTTGCTTAATACAGTCCTCAGTAGATTTTACAGGTATTGTGACAGACCGACTGTGGCAAATAAACATGTCTAGTAGTGAATATACACAGTTTTAGTAAGGTTTTACATGTAGCAAATAAACATGTCTAGTGGTGAATATACACAGTTTTAGTAAGGTTTTACAGCGCTCGCAACTGCATAAGGTCACGTGAGCGCCAAGGGGTGGATGTCAACAGAGAAGTGAGCAAATTAAAAGCTGTATTTTCTCATAATTTACAATAATCCATACAAAATATTTTTCTAAAACCCAGAGAATTTCCCCCTCATTTATGATCAGTTGAGTATAAGTCCAGGAGAGGGAATTCAAGAGTAAATTGGACTTTAGGCAAATCCCATCAGGGTTTTTCAACCAGCAAAAAACCCCAAAAAGCGGGAGGGATCTGAATGTATCGGAGCACTTGTCAGGTCGAGTCACACCACGGACACCGGCCCACAGATGTTTTGTTAGT